GAACCGCTCGGTCACTGATGGCTGCGTCGCTCGGCTGGATGTCCAGAAATGGTTTGTTCCCCACGCCCATAGACACCATCTCCTTCAAACGCATCTCTGAACACGCACACACACAAACACCCACAGTGTGACTTGACAACCCAGTGCTTACACATGATGAAGCCAACACTGCTCCTGGAGCCTCCCTGTCTGTACCTTTGTTCCTGGTGGCCTGGGTCCACAGAATTTGGGCAATATCCCTCGTCCAGGTCTGTTTGACGTCCAGCGTGGCGGCCTGAAGGATGAAAGTCTGACTCTTCGACGTCCTCCTCCGGAACCAGATCTCAAACCTCAGCCCGCTGTCCCCTGTTGACTCTGTCAGCCCCACATCGGCCGTCTGAAGGAAATCCGTGACGTTTACACTGCTCAGTGTGACTGTGACCTCTTAGTCTGCCCTCTCACTCTGTATACGCTTACCTTGAAGGAGTGTTTGTAGATGAACATGTCCAACCCTCCCTCCATCTTCTTGGGCTTACTGAAGAGAATGAGCTCTTCAAACAGGAAGACATGACGCTGACATTTCCTTCTCCCAGTCAAGACAGTGAACTCGTCCTGACGGATCAGCTGGCCCTGCTCCTTCAGGTTCACCTGCACAGACAATTAGTCACAGTGTCTCCACCACCAGCAGCAGAATAAGCAGCGAGCAGCTCCTGTGTGCAGTGTCATCATGGACGTACAGACAACTGTCACTGGATCACTGTGAGACTGAAGGAAACTTAGAAATGGGAGGCTCTGCAGCCTCTTCTCTGGTTTCTAAATGGATCTATGGTTTGTTCTGGAGGGACATCAGAGATTGTGAGCTCAACAGGACGTGGACATCACACTGAGTCAGATCAACATGTTTCATAAGTCTGTGAGTTCATCTGTCACTGAGTCAGGACTCTGAGAAGATGAGGGACAGTGCGGGAAACAATGAGCTTATGTCGCAGCACTGATAAACTTACATCACAGTCCTGGATGGCATCCATTGCCAGCAGGTCGTTGCCATGGCGAAGCTGAAACTTGACCATCTGGGTGGCCTCCTGCAGTGCGAAAAGCTCTGCCTCCTGGGCCACACCCACCTCCTTCATGAGGTCAGTGAGGAGCAGTGCATATTTACTCATCCTCTGAATGGGCTTCAACAGGTAGGACGACAGGTCCATCTTATCCCCCAGCTCCACCTGCTTCCTCTACGGGAGGGTGGAGGAGCAAAGGGATGAGAGACAGAAGATGAGGAGGAGAGAAGAGAGAGAGTGAGTGAGGAGGAGGAGACAGGGAAAAGGAGAGTAGAGGGTGGATGGAGGTCAGTATATGGAGATTTTATTTGCTATAAAATGTGAGGAATGTGGGAAACACCTCTCAGAGGTCACAGGTTAAAGATTGAATGGGTCTAGAGGCCAAAGGTCATGGCTCAGTCCTCACCCTGAAGAAGGCGTTCCCATGGTTGGCCAGCAGAGTGTCAGACTTTGGTTTGTTCTTGCTGTAGAGGGCATACAGGCCGAACTGCTCCTGCTGTTCAACACAGAGGCAACAGACGCTTCACATCCACACACTGACACTAAGCAAGTGCTCAAAGTGGATCGTTATTATTAGTAAAAATGACTTCTGTTAAATTATACATGTTGTGGTTACGGAGTCATGACAAACATGCTGATTAACATCCAGCATTATGTTTTTACAGTGCACAATCAGACCCCTGCTGGACTCTGATATTTCTCTGGTGACATTTACTGATGACCACTGCACCACTGGGCCACCCCCAGTGAAGCACACTACTAACCAGTCTGAAAAGCTGCAGTGCCTTTCAACCACCCAAAGTAATGTGGCAGCTGGACCTAATGACCGGTCTGTGGTCTGAGTGTAATACTCAGCGACTCACGCCTCAGGCCTGTTTGTGTGCAACCTACATGGCGGAGGAAGCAGTGTGGCACTCTGAGCGGGTGTTTCCAGCAGGCTTCCAGCTCCCTCAGGAAGAACTGACTGTGGAAGTCCAGAAGTTTCTCCAGGTTCCCGAAGATGACAGAGCGCTTCCCCCTCAGGTCCTGGGGAAGGCCAACCCGGTCCATCTCAGGGAAGTAGTGATGTATGATGTAACGCAGAGAGCGGACGTACTCCCTCTCTGTGGTCACCATCTCCTCCACGATGTGCCGCAACTTACTGCAGAGGTACAACAGTTACACACATCAGACTACGGACATAAACCTACCAACAAGGGTAAATCTACAGTCTAGCATGAGCTCAAAGGGCTACGACCGGCCATCATTGTGTCAGACACTGGGTGGTCACACAGAGCTGTCACATTCTGGTCCACACTTCAACTAGAAACATTCTGTAAGTGCATCAGCCTGTGTGACCTGACTGCATGGTCCTGCAGCACAGTTGTTCACAAACTGAAGGAAACCGCTGGATCCTCCACTGAAACGATCAGCAGCACAAAATTCACAATGTTGGTACAGTACAACAAGCATCCTGTCAGCACAATGCACACAGATGCTAATATCGTCGTTATGCCGCTCTGAATCCTTTTAGGTGCTTAGTTTACAACTTTACCTGCTACTTCAAAGTCAAACTTAGTTACATGTTAAAGGATTAGGATTTGATTAAATGCTAGTGAACTCCAACACTGGTGCGTGTACAGGTGGGCATCCTGACATTGTGCTTACAGCTCGTCACAGCCCCCCGAACCAGAAGTGGAAAGCTAAATTCAGGGCCAGAGCTTTGTGAGATACATCTGAATGAATCTGAACAAACTAATGTTCATTCTTGTCAATGAATCTAGCTGATTACCCACCTTCCCCTGGGTTGGGGGTCTGCTGTGGGGCTGCTGGGTGTCGCGGGGCTGTGTGGCCCTTGTCCTGCCCAGCCGTGAGCCACAGTCCTGGGACAGAGCGTGCGGTCGGCTGCCTCGGTGCTGCTGACCTCCAGACCGCGGATGAACACACCGGTGTTTCCTCTGCGCACTGGACAGTTGAAGCTTTGAGCCTTCCCAAGCTGCTGCTGTCTGCTTGAGGAGGAGGAGGAGGTGGAGCAGGCTGAGGAGGGGGTGAAGATGGGAGAGGAGTCGAAGTGGTGGAGGCAGCGAGTAGAGGAGAAGGGCTCCACCTGGTCTGCCACATTACTTTGGGTGGTCTCAGAGTAGCTGCGGAACAGACGGTGGAGGAGTGGGGTGTGCTGGGGGATGAGAGGGGAGGAGGAGGTACAGGGAGATGAGGAGGTGCTAGTGTTCTCCTCGGGGGAGCAGGAGGAGGTCTCTCGGACCCCCCGGAGTCCTGACAATGTCTTCCTGGAGGAGGCAGAGCTTCTGCTAAGGCCAGAGTCAGAGCGCTGCCGGTGGGCAGATTTTCGTGTCCTGAGCGCTGCCTCCATCTTCCTGTCAAACATCTTCTTGGTCTCCTGACACTTGGACCAGGCGAAGCTCCACTGATGGAGGCCTCGCTCACCCCGCAGCTCGCCTGCTAGAGCTTTCATCTCCTGAAAACAGGCATCTGGAATTGGTGGGTGCTGGTGCTGGTAGTCCTCCAGGCAGTCAATCACAGCCCGGCATTTGTCCGGCAGCGTGCAGTCCTCCATACTGATGCCAGCTAGGCGACGCATGCCCTCCAACGCCCAGCCATAGGCCTGCAGTCATATCACATCATTAAAACTCATTCAGCTAAATAAAAGAGTACAGAAGCAGCTCTGCTGAAGTGAGGGCTTTATTTCCCTGCACTGGTTTTTTACTCGCATCAAAACAAGCAACATCACCTGAGGCCACAGCTACCTCATCATTACTAAGAATGTTGCAGTAAAACAGAACATGTGTTCTCACACACAGCAGCTGACAGTCCACATGGATCCTGCAGCTACAGCTAAGACCAGCTCCCCACTACAGCCTGGCTCTCATGGCTATGCACCAGGGTCGTTAGGGGGGCTGTGGTGGTCTCACCTCTCCACAGGCTGGTAGAAGTGCACAGCTGGTCTGAGAGCTGGGCTCACAGTCATCACATCCTTTTACAGTGCAAAGCTTTGCTTGCTCCTGAAGAGAAGGAGCCTTATGCTCTGTGTTGTGTAGACCAAGCTGCTGTCCACAGATTTGTTCAGACAACATGAAGCACTGACACATGTAAGAACTTAGCACAGTATTTTGGCAAAGTCTCCTCTGATGGCTCAGAGGAAACCGATTACAGGTATTTGGGGTTACTTCTGTCTGAGAGACACATCTACAGAAAACGTCCTTTATTGAAGAACGCTTTACTTTTCTACATGGTCACCCCGCTGACAACTGATTAGTTTGAGAGAAAAAACAACCTAACCAAGACACAAAGAGCACCTCCAAACGGATCCAGCCCCAGGGCGCTGCACACGACCTCCATGGTGTTTGTCAGGTGATAAACACTAAGCTCCAATGTGAGCCTCACACGGTCATCAGCACCGGGTCAGCTGACCCCCGGCACCTTTCACCAGTTTACCCAGTGCAGGCAAAAAGGTGATTTAAAACAAGCATTTATGTGGATCTGCAGTGTATCCTGGCTCTGTGTTCTGCAGTCTAATAAACACAAATCCAGCTGGACTTCTGGACCCTATTTAATGTTTCATATCAAACTATCCCACCCCCACAGGACAAACGTCAGTGTGAATCTGGCTTGAGGCTTAATACTGCTTTCTAACAGGCAGGACAGTACTGAGAGAGAGACATAGGGGGTGGGGGATGACATCACCCTTCAAATGGCGGGTGGAGAAAATGCTTTGAAGTGTGAGAGTGTTGGCGCCACAAAAGAGTGGAGCTCCTTTTTGGTGAAGGCTGGAGAGGGAGGAGTGTGTGAGTGTGTGGCAGGGGGGGCTCCTGCGTCTCTGCACTGGTGGAGTGAAGGAGTCTTTGCCCTGCGGACACATGACGAACACATTACCTCACCACTAAAACACACACCCACACCAACATGTGAGGACTGGGTTATTCCAAACCTTTCGAGGCCTGTCAAGGAGAGGATCAGCTGATGGGAAAACCTCAGCCTGGAACATGTCCAACAGGCTGCGGCACACACAGGAAGTGCAAAATGAATTTTGACATCGGGGTCTGAAACGAACATGGACCAAGCGCCAGCTAAGGGGCGGCTTCCTGTTTGTCTAGGAAGCCCCAGAAGACGATGGGCCACGCTGGCAGCTACAAACGCTATCCTGAGAGTCTCCACTGCGTTTTATCCAGCTTTTTACTATGTGTGACAGTGTAAATGGTTCCCACCTCCATGGTTTATATGCTGAACTGGGAAGTCATCACTGGTCCTTATTTAAACTTAAATAGCCGTTTGTCATCAACACAGGAGCTCAATAACATTTACAGACTATATTCTAGTTGCACTGGTGAGTTAATAACAATGCCTGTGATTGTGTGAACAGGCATGTAATATCATTTCATACTGATCGCAGGCCCCTGCATTGTGGCAAACGTTATATTGCTGGCTAAGAGACGTTCAATATAACATGGCATCTTAATGAAACTGATGGAGGACTGTAAAGGACTACAGGGCTTCTCTTACTCTCATTTCAGTGTCATTCAGGAGGGTGCTGCGGTGTCTGCAGTGTTTACCGGGACAGGAGGCCTGCAGTCTGACAATGGAACCATAAGGACAGTCGCACACACACAGTGCTACAGTAGGCCACTGGGTCAATGTGTGTGTGTGGGAACTGAGCAGCTGCAGCCATCAGGACATAGCAGCAAGCTAATTAGTTTGAATATCACTCAGCCAATTTGTTTCCTGCAGCGTGCGTGTGTGTGTTAATGCCCTGGCTCAGTCACCTGACCTAGTTTCCTCCTGTGTAACTGTGTTTGAGTGGGAGTGAGTGCTCTGTTCCTGTGAGGATCTTTGAATGTCTCGGTCTAACAGGTTGTATTCCAGGTTTCAGGCTGATGACTGTTTAACAGATTTGTCCACAGGATGTTACATTTAAAGGGCGCAGCCAGGGATTTGTGTTATGTTACACACATCCCATCCAGACACTAAAAGCCTGGATCAGTGAATGAATATCCAGTAAACCATACATGCAGCATATGAGGTAGGGGAATTAAAGGAGTCCTGTCAGTGCTGGTGCACAGTTTGGCTTTATAAACCACACAGCAGACAGGAACACTTCATGCACAAGGAGAACTGACCAGGGGCAGACAGGATTTGGTCCTGGGGACAGCAGCCCTGCAGGACTCCAGTCCTGGAGCCAGTCAACCAGAGAGGAGGAGGCTGCACCCAGATGAAAGCTGGGGGCAGAGCTGCCTCTGTGCTTCTCCTTCACCGTCCTTCACACACAGTGATGTGTTTACTGAGACAGGTGGTCGGTCTTTATGTTCCTGGTCGAAACAAGCTGCACAGACTGAGGATACATTTTATTATGCAGGTTTACATATGTTTAGCAGCCAATGCATTCTTCTCACAGATGGGTCGGGTCAGAAACTTGACAGCAGAACCAAAACACAAAGCAAACTAACAAACACCAAGACTTTATTTATTTATTCCAAAAAAAACAGACCAACTCTGCAGGCGGGCTTGGTTCTTTCAGTGTTTAAACTGCTGCTGCTGTTGCTTTTGTTTTACTGTTCTCTCAGACTCATCACTTTCTCTGTAAACTTAGTGTTTTTCAACACTAGTTGTTTACAACATTAGTGTTTTACTCAACTTTTGTATGCACAGCTTGTATGTCACTGTGTCTTTGTTGTAGCCCGTCCTCATAGACATGGTCTAACCTGAAAGTCAACCCTTCTTGCTTCTGGTCCCTGGTGTCTGAGACAAGCCAGAAAAGACTGTTTCACAGAGGTTTCAGTCTCTGACACTCAGGAAGGACCACCGAGCTTAAGTCCCCTGAGAATGTGTCTGTGCATCACAACAACCTGGAGGCAACCAGCGGCTCAGAGTTTGGTGAGATATGGATGGACACAGGACTACAGAAGGATCTCTGTCAAACGAAGCTAACGCCGATACCTCAGACCTCTACAGCTCTGAAGCTGATGTGAACAGCAACTTGAAGCAGTGATTTCCAAACGGGGACTTGACCGACGGAGCCATCCTGAGGGTCAGGACACAGCTACCACACATGACGACTTTTTTTTTTTTTTTAGATGTTCTCCTAATTTCAGCTATTTTCTTGTGTGTTACTGGGTCCCTTTAGTTCAACTCATTCAAACAACACAGGAGAAAAGAATCACAGGTTTGGTGGCAGTGCCTACCATTAGCAACTTGTGACTGGTCACAGTAGATATTACAAGCATTATTCTGAACCTAAACCTGGATCTAAATCCCTTAAACCAAGTCTTAACTGTCAAACAACCCTCTGAACATCTGACCAAAGTGTCCCAGCTCCAGTGTCTGAAACTCAAAAGCAGTCAAAGGCAAACACACTGCTGCGAGCTAATGTCTGCTAGCTTACATTAGCCTGATTCACTCTCTGCTGTAGGGAACCCAGACTAATGTAAAACACACACAGCTGAAGACAGTGAGAGAGGAGCTGCTTTCAACTCAAAGAGCACTCTGGAGTCAAAGTGACACCAGCACCACATCAAAGCTCTGAAACAGCAACAGCCACACACTAACTACACAACTCTACACACAGTTAAAGCTGTACACTGTGTGTGTGAAGTGAGTGGGTCGTACCTTGGTGGGTCCTGGTGAAGAGCTACAGCCGGACTGAGCTAAGCACAGAGCAACATCCCGACCACACGCACACAGACCACCCCCCACCCCCACCTCATTCACAGGCTTAATGGCAGA